AACTAAAAATATTAATAATATTTAATACGTCTATTTTGGAGGATAGAAAACATTTGAGGAGATGAAGCTCCTTCTCCGGCTGATTACCATACATGAAGAGAACTATATTTATATATATTTAGAATTTAATGAGGGCGATAACTTCTCTACACACAAATGTCTAGATTGGTATAAAAAGAAAATAATGTTCAGTAAATAATAAAGTTATTTAAATAGTATAACTACACAGCAATGTAGGTTAGTGCTGAAAGGGGTTAGGATCTTTGTACGATTTGAAAGTCCAAGTCTGAATAGTCGTGACCCATCTTCCACGTCGTGATATCGGTTTTTTAAATCTACCATTTGAACACGTGAGTACGTATAATGTCATTTGTTTCATTAAACCTTTCGTTTTACATTTCGTGATGGTTAAATGTTCATGAAATGAAATCTTATTAAAATTAATTTTGTGTAGCACACGCGTTTCGCGGTTTGGACATAATATTATAGTCAAATGGGGGAATACAATCCGGGTCTGATAATTATATTGCTACACCTTGATATATTATGTGGTTTGCAGACATTTGTTGAATTTGCCTTTTGAATTTACAAGTATTAACATTTATAACTTAAGTAGGTGCTATTAGTAATTAGTTTCAAATTAATTGTAGCATGACAGTATAGTTATATTATACACCCATGTGGAAAATGGTACCACTACTTATTATATTGAGTCAAAATTCTTTTTTCAAAATTTATATCTAAGTGGATCGAAAATAGATCACGTTATAACTAGATTAATCCAGTCAAAAGTGTAGGTATACCTTTATTTATTAGGCTCGACCAATCTACTTTTAGCTATAACTGGGAGTCTTGCTAAGATATGTGACAGTTTTTCAAATCAATTGGAAATATGCCTCTTTAGTGTAAGATAAATTATTGAAAAAAAATAAATATCTTGTGCACAAAATAAAATCTTTTCGTTAACTTGCGCCCTAGAATTAAGCAGGCTATAGAATAAAATTAAGTACACAATACCTGCAGGCTGCAGGCACCTATTACGTAGGTTTATAGGTAATATCAGATAGGTACGATAAACTGATAAGTATAATTAACTAACTATATTATAGCCATAAATTGCTTTACTGCGGTTTATTATTATTAAAATGTATATTTATTATTTGTATAGTAACTACACATTTATAATTCGTTAAAATAATGTTAAATAATTTCCATCCGATATTATTTCAGGTTTTTTGGCCATATGAGTCAAGTCTCGGTTAACCGCTAAACACGTGGAATTGCTGGAAAAAGACGTACTACTGGCGGTGTTTTCGGTTTGGCTAATTGCCGATTTCAGCAGAGTCATTCTGGCAATACTCTCCCTGTTTTTCCGAGTCATCTCTGCAGCTGTAGATTCTATATTGTTGACGTACGGTCGGTCCGTAAATAATCGCAGAAATATCTCTTTTTGGGTGCACGACGGAAGGATTTGCCCCAAGAACTGTAACCAGGCGACATTTTCGTGCACAGCTTTGCGGTAGTCCTCCAGCGAAATCCTATTATCGCGATCCTTGTCCACCTCGGTCATGACGAAATCGACGAAACTCTGATCTTACTCCTCCATGTTGACTAATTTACACATTTTCATGCTGTTCCTTCTGGCCATCACTAACACGTCCTCTTTTTTTATGTACCTCGGTGACCTGATCATTTCCGTGTAGACTTCAAAGCAGAAGTTAATCAAGTCGGCTAGGGTCCCCTTTAACAGCATCGACAATACCCTGACGAACTCGGGACCAGTCAAGTATTCCTTGTTCGTTTCGCAACAAAGCAGATAAACTTTATCTACGGAATCTACGTTTCTCACCCCTAAAAAAACGTCCATGAACTGTATGAAGTTCAACTTCTTCATAGGTTTCGCGTTGTCCTTTGTTAGCATGTAGTGCATTTGTAGTAATCGGAGCACTTCTATTTTATTGAAATGTGTTGTGCGCGAAAGCTCAGTCGCGATGTCTGAATATCTGTGTTGCAGACGTATGTCCAAGGTCGCTGGTAAACGTTTATTAATCGGCCTATAAGGCATTTCGATTTAATTTGTATTAAGGAATAATTTTAAACCTTCTGTGATTAAAAATGCATTTCAAAATTTAAATATGAATGAATGTATTATTTTGGTTGTATTGACAACCAGCGATACACGTGCTTTTATATTGATATTTATTTTCATGGAACCAACGACAGGAAACGTGACTGCATTGTGGCCAGTGGCCGATTTAAGGGTTCAAATTAACTGCAAATCCATTGAGTGGTCTGGTGCAAAATACATCAGTAACATACGTACCTACCAACGAAATTGTGTTTTTTATTAACCTATCCTAACAACGGTAGGTAAATGTCTGCAATATAAAATGTATTTATTGTTTTGTGGTGACAATTAAAAAAAAATTAAATACATGATAATTATGTATAGTTATTTTTTTACTATAGGCCCCAGCCCCCAGTGCACAATATATACGAGATTCAACGGTATTTGCCAACTAAATGACTGCTGTTTCTGTAATTGATTGTGACATGATATTCTTGATACCATTAAACTATATTTATTTGATACCTATAGACCTATATGGACTGTCAAAGTTATTACGAGAATAAAACAAGTACCATATCAACAGGCTCGTCTTTACATGATTTATAAACTTAACCAATGTGATTAAATTAATTAATATAAAAACTGGTTAGAAAAGCTCATGCTGCGAGTGTGCCGAATTCCCGGTTTCTAAACGTATTTTAATGTAACGCAATGAATTATAATTCCATACACAATTTATGTACCGACAGTAGTTACGGATAATAAATAAATAAAAATCGACAATATAATATTATATCAACAATCGTAA